AGATTTGGCTCTCGAAGCCCAATCATTAAAACAAAATGGCCGCCAGTCAGCTATTTTGAATCCAATCTGAAAAATAAAATGACGTGCATCAGGAACCTGTAATGTCTAATGTATGTTATAAGTTTGAACAAAATCCATCCATAAATGCAAGAAATGCTTGATATTTTAGCACAAAAATATATATATATATATATATATATATATATATATATATATAGTAATGCCAAATATGCTTGATATTTGATGATTTTTTTAGCACAAAAATGGCCACCATTCGGCCATTTTGAATAGGATCGTCAAACCAATATATCTGTCTATCTATGACATGATGTATAATGAATATTTAAAATTTGAACATAATATGGCACAAGAACCACATTCATTAAAACAAAATGGCCGCCAGTCGGCCATTGTAAATCTAATCTGAAAAACAAAATTATTTGCATCAAGGTCCCATAATGTCTAATGTATACACCAAGTTTGAACAAAATCCATCAGTAAACAGCCGAGAAATGCTTGATTTTTATGATTTTTTTAGCACAAAAATGGCCGCCATTCGGCCATCTTGATTCAGATCGTGAAACAAATTGACGTGCATATGTATAATAACATGTATGACGTATGTGTGAAGTTTGATTGTGATTGGTCCAGGCATTTCTAAGATACAGGTCCGGACGCACGCACGCACGCACGGACACACAGAGGTCAAAACGTAAGTCCCCGTTTTCGGACTGCGAATGGAGACTAATTAGTCAGCAATGGCCAGTGATAAGCCATAGTTGAATTATTCTATTATACCAGTCAGATGTGTACATACCTTCTAACACTGGGTTTGACTGTAAAAGTTGTTCTTTCACTTCATCAATGTCTTTTCCTTTACCTGATACTGCAGCTACATATTGCATAACTATCTTGCTAGCCTCTACAGAATCAGTAAAAACATAAATCATTAAAATTCTGGTATTTTATAAACGCTGTTGTCATATGATTCCATACTAATCTTACAGTAAAACCATTTAATTTCTGTTGCTAGGACAAACCCAGCATCACAAAATTCATAAAAATTGTAAAATTAGTAGCTTACATTAAGAGTGATACCATCCAATTATTTTATTTTACAACATGACCATCCCTTCAAACGCACTTCTGTAATATCATTTTTTCATATTAGACAACAGAGGCCACACCTTATAATTTACAACTTAGGAGGGGAAAACTAGACCAATGGGATAGGAATAGTCACTGTACCTGTTTTACCAGCACCACTTTCACCTGTAATGATAATACACTGATCTCTATTCTTGTCTCGCATAGACCGATATGCATCATCTGAAATTGCATAACTAGAAGATATAATTGAAAAAAAATAATCTAAAAACAATTTCTTTTTTCAAACATCTACCAATACCTGTTATAAATGTTACCTCTCCTGATTATTTGTTTTAAATATAAGTTATTGTAAAATAATTTATTTTAACTTGCAACTAATTTTCGCTGAAGGAATGATTCAGTAAAAATAAAATTCAGTGAATATACCTTTTTTCCTATATTGTACATTCAACTTGTCAAAAATCAGTGAAAATAAAATTTTATACAAAACACCCAAAAAATCTGTTTTAGCGAAAATTAATCCTAGCTGAAATATAGTATTTTTACAGTATTAAGTACTCACATATGTGGTGGTAATTCATAAAGGTTTCTACCACGGTATTCATCTATCTTCTTGTCTCCATACAGCGGCAAACTTTGATAGGGGTTAACTGATACTACAACATTACCAATGTATGTCTAATAGATGCATAAAAAAATGAGACACACACTTGAGAGATTAATTAATAAGTTCATACTAATTTTTACCATTTTATATTCTAAACTTTGTAACAACTCTTTCTCCCTTAGAGTAAAGCCCATATTTAATAATGTATCTGTTTCCATGGAAACAAGTATGAGACCCATTTTATATTTTGCTATTCAAATAAATACTATACAGTTGGTACGAAGCCAAATGTAGGCTTTTCTCTAGACTGGCAAAGTCGGGACTTCTTTTTTGTTTTACAAAATGAAATAATTGTTCTTTTAGTCCTTTCAGTGTAATCAAGAAAAATAACCTGACCGCTAAAGAAATCCTGACTGGACGCATCTGCGGGCATTTGACTGATATTAATTATTCATGATGTCATTGATTATTCATGAGTGGGTGTGTAAAAGTAAACGTGACTTTTTAAAGATTGATTCGATCGCAGACATGGATACCGTTTAAAGTGCAATGGTGATACTTTCATCCATTTTTACTGAAAACCAGTCGATTTAAATGTTCAATGCATATAAGTAGTCTATCAAAATCGTCGGGACCTCAGAAGTGAAAGGTCACGTACATTAACATAGATAAGAGATGACATATACAGCTGCACTTTGATACGTTGTCAATGTTAGTCAACATATTTTAATTAGCATAATCACCGGAGTGAATCCGCGCTGGTTTTCACTCCAACGCAGGGGGTCGCCTGCAGATGTGTCCAAGTCAGGATTTCTTTTGCAGTCACGCTAGTTTTTGCGATCACGTTAAAAAAGCTAAATTGAAATTATTTTTTTTTAATTCCTGACTTTGCCAATCTAGCTTTTCTCCTATTTATTGCAGTTAGTATTCTGTCATGCCAGTGAGTTAGCTGTTCATGCCAGCCCATTAGCTGTTCATGCCAGCTCATTAGCTGTTTATGCCAGCCCATTAGCTGTTTATTCCAGTGAATTAGCTGTTTATGCTAGCCCATTAGCCGTTTATGCCAGCCCATTAGCCGTTTATGCCAGCCCATTAGCCGTTTATGCCAGCATATTAGCCGTTTATGCCAGCATATTAGCCGTTTATGCCAGCATATTAGCTGTTCATCCCAGCACATTAGCTGTTCATGCCTGCCCATTAGCTGTTCATGCTGGTGAATTAGCTGTTCATGCTGGCACATTAGCTGTTCATCCCAGCCCATTAGCAGTTCATGCCAGTGAATTAGCTGTTCATCCCAGCACATTAGCTGTTCATTCCAGACCATTAGCTGTTCATTCCAGCACAGTAGCTGTTCATCCCAGCACAGTAGCTGTTCATCCCAGCACAGTAGCTGTTCATCCCAGCACAGTAGCTGTTCATGCCAGTCCATTAGCTGTTCTTGCCAGTGAATTAGCTATTTATGCCAGCCCATTAGCTTTTCATCTCAGCACATTAGCTTTTCATGCCAGTGGGTTAGCTGTTCATGCCAGTGGGTTAGCTGTTCATGCCAGCCCATTAGCTGTTCATGCTGATGAGTTAGCTGCTTATGCCAGTCCATTAGCTGTTCATGACAGCCCATTAGCTGTTCATCCCAGCACAGTAGCTGTTCATCCCAGCACAGTAGCTGTTCATCCCAGCACATTAGCTGTTCATCCCAGCACATTAGCTGTTCATGCCAGCCCATTAGCTGTTTATGCCAGCACATTAGCTGTTCATGCCAGCCCATTAGCTGTTCATGCTGGTGAATTAGCAGTTTATGCCGGCCCATTAGCTGTCCATCCCAGCACATTAGCTTTTCATTCCAGCCCATTAGCTGTTCATGCTGGTGAATTAGCTGTTTATGCCAGCACATTAGCTTTTCATTCCAGCCCATTAGCTGTTCATGCTGGTGAATTAGCTGTTTATGCCAGCACATTAGCTTTTCATTCCAGCCCATTAGCTGTTCATGCTGGTGAATTAGCTGTTTATGCCAGCACATTAGCTGTTCATCCCAGCACATTAGCTTTTCATTCCATCCCATTAGCTGTTCATGCTGGTGAATTAGCTGTTCATGCTGGTGAATTAGCTG